TATATATATATATATATATATATATATATATATATATATATATATATATATATATATATATATATATATATAAAGGTATCCTTTGAATAATCTAAATAAAAAAGTTAATATCTAACACGGGCTTATATGACATATTCAAAATAATTTAATACTCTAAATAAAAAGTTGAATAATCTAAATAAAAAAGTTAATATCCTTTGATTAATAGAAATACTTTAATACTCTATCATTATCATATATTTCATATATCACATTAGATTGATACCATATTCATATGAAATAGATAAAATAATAGATACAATATTTTTCACATCCAGAATTACATCCTTGATCATTAGATAAGAATCCAACTATAAAGAAAGAAACAAAGAATATTAAGATATATTCAAAATAATTACGTATTTATAAAATATAATTATGTACTAGCAGTGTATCAAAGATGCAGTGATCGATTTTTTCGATAAGCCACAATTATTACGAGCAAATGAGGAACACATTTGTACTTGCTTTGTTATTCTGCCAAACGATGAGTAAAACACAAATATATTGATTCTGATTATAGTTAAATACGTATCAAATTTTACAAGGATGTCCACACATACGCTCAAACCAAATGTGATACCAAGAAATGACGTTTGCTATAGATATAGGATTCTTGCCCCTCCGACATAAATGTGTCGTTATCCAACGGTGGGCGGCGAGGAGGTCATGACTTCATTCAACGATTAGTCCTTGGAATCATATGGATTGAAGTGACATCAACTTTTATTTATTGACCGTGTCGCAAGAAAACCGCATCGTACCAATTAAAACAGGGGCACAGATACTTGGGACACACTGGGCCCCATGTCTCCTGTTTCTCTCTGAGAACAGGCCACCGAATCCCATGTCTCAAATAAATGACCCCACTTACCAACCCCACTGACCAAGTATTTCTTAGCCTCAAATCCTTCGGGCCCTACCCTTGCCGACCTACACGTGGCTTCATATACGACGCTCCAAGACGGCTGCACACCCTCCACCGGAACACTCCTCCGTCACCAATCGCGGAGCACTTAACTCGCTTCCCCGTCTTCTCCGCATAGCACTCTCTCCACTTCGAAAGCAGCGACGAATGGAGTTGCCATGTGGAACCGTCGAGTCTTTCTCTTTCCTTTCTGTTACAAATACAACCAAAATCTGTACACACACTCGCAGCTACATATTTACATTATCACCCGCCATGGTTCTCCGAACCACCACGTGTCCTTTGCTCGGACTACTCCACCGCCTTCGCCCGGTTGACGCCGGGAGTGGCCGGCTGTCGCAACAGCTCGATCAACGCCTCCGCCTGTTCCATTAATAAAAATAATTTTTCTGATTTATTAGAATACAAAAAAGAAAACGATGACTGGAGTTAAAGTTACCGCAGGTCAGGGTACCAACCTTGTCCCTGATCTTCCTGGAAGAGGACTGGGAGAGCGCGACGAGCGGCGGGATGGCTCCCTCGCGGACGACCAACTTGCGGTAGGCGGCGCTCTCCTCGCAGATCTCGAGGAGTGAGAGCATCCCCACTTCTTTCTGCCGCTGACTGCCCACCTCCACCGTCTCCACGAGCACAGGGACGCCGCCCTCCGCCACCGCTGACGCCCGGCCTTCTGGCTCCGAGAGCACCCGGTGGAGCACGAACGCCGCCTTGTCCACCATGCCGGACTCCGGATCGGCCATGAGGTCCAGCAGCGGGCGCACGACCCCGGCCTCCACGGCCCGGGCCCTGTTCTCCTTGCCGGCCAGGAGGGCGAAGAGGGCGGTGGCGGCGTCCTTCTTGCCGCGGGAGCTGCCGGTCTCGAGGAGGGCGACGAGGGGTGGGATGGCGCCGGACCGGCCGATGGCGGCCCCGAGGTCGTCGAGCTGGGCTAGGCGGAGGATGGCGCAGGCGGCGTTCTCGCGGGCGGCGGGGGTACCGCAGCGGAGGATGCGGACGAGGTGGCGGACTGCGCCGGCGGCGGCGATAGGGGCTTTGTTTTCGTCACAGAGGGAGAGGTTGAGTATGGCGGTGACGCCGTGCTCCTGGAGCTGCGGGTCCGGGTGGGAGAGGAGGGAAACGAGCGGAGCGACGGCCCCGGCTCGGGCGATGCGAAGGCGGTTCTCGGGGCTGTGCTTTGCGAGGTGGCGGAGCTCCATGACGGCGCGACGCTTAGACTCGACGGAGGGGGAATCGAGGTCGGAGATGAGTCCGCGGACAACCTCGTCGGAGTAGTCGGCGGCGGAGGAAACCAGAAGACATCGGAGGGTGGAAGCGCCGCCAGCAGAGGCGGAGGGTGATCCCGCGAGGGGGAACTCGCCGCAGCGGTCGCTGTTGTAGTCGCTGTAGCTCCGTCCCATGTAGCCGGGGCACTCCGGCGGGCTCTCAATCACCATCATCTCCATTGTGTTCGATCTCCAAGCCAACTCGAGACAAAAGATGGAGGGGTTTCGGGTAACCAAATCAACGCGGTGGGCGGGATATGCTCTATTGGCCTCTTTGGGAGTGGAAGAGAGGCGAAGCAATTAATACCAATGGGGACGCGGTGGAGAGTGTTGAGCTCACACGTGGCACAAGGCGTCCACACGTGGGAAGTTGGTTGCGCTTAATCGAGTTCTAAGGTAGACGGTCGGTGCGTTGATGCTTTGGTTTCCCCGATTCAAGAAGTGCAAGTAAGGGGCATCCATGACTCGCGACCCGCTGACGTACCCGCCCAACGATTGTAAAGACTAGAAAGGTACTCGAGAGCTTTTCCGGGACCCACCAGACACAAAGAGAGAGAGACACACACACAATTCATTGTTATGATCAAGAAAGGTTGATGGCTAAGAGAGATGCAAATAGTTAAGTTGTATGGAAGCTGATATGAGAATTAGCGAATTTTTTTTGGGATGAAAAAGAGAATAGAGATAATAATAGAAAAAATATATTAGACTTAGGGTCGCGCTAAACTCTTAGGATGAAATTCTAGAAACTACTAAACTCTTGGGATGAAATTCTAGTAATTCTATAGGTCTCGTAAGTACACGATAAAACTATTTTATCAAAAATAATAATAACATCGGACACTCACACATGAGAAAGAACTCAATCCATTAATTGATCTCTAATTCATTAATTTATAATCACATCAAATCAAATTTATGATATATGAGATCCTATGATAAAATCATCATCTCGATAATATTCTTAATAGATTATTATCTTTGTAAAAATAAATCTTTGTAAAAATATTATATATATATATATATATATATATATATATGACAACTTGTTACATATGTAAAATATCATTAAACCAACCAAATATATTTAAATAAAAGATATACTTAACTAATTTAAGCTGAAACCCTAGAAAAATTATGTTCACGAGTTTATCCAATGATATCCTTGTAATGCTCAAGTCAATAAATAAATCAGTTAAACAATTCCGAGGAAAAGATAATGTGTTTGGAATGTACTTATTATTAGGTTTTTGTATAATGATATCTTATAATTGTTATTTTCACTTTAAACACTATTCATGGGGAAAGTAGTTTGATATTGAGCATCAACGTCGCTCCACCTTATCAAGTTCAAAATAGAGTAATGTTTAAACATGTGACATTAATTGAATGGTGAAGAAGATTAGCTGATTGGGACAAAGCCACATGACCACCTAACACTAAGATAACGATCGATTAGCATCGAGGTGTTGATCGTTTGACATTAAGATATCGATCATGTCATTCTACCCCTAATAACAAGTAAAGAAAAAAATTTATGACTCGAGAAAAAAAAATCATAATTTTAATTTTAAATATTTGCTTCAATATATTTAAATTAAATGAAAGTATATTTATGACGAAAACCATGTGTTTCTATCGGTGTTGATTAAACACATACATGGTTTGTAACATTGATTGATGATGATGGATCATCTACTATATATTATTGTGATCTAGAAGGAAGTGGGAATCACATTCTGTGTATTGAGGGTGATACAATCTACAAATACTTAATTGATTTCACTTAAGCTTCATGGGACTCTTACAATAATTACTCATAAATGATTAGTCTCTTGCTAATCTTCATACAATCCAGATAATGAATAGAAAGATAACAGTTATTGATGAACAAATGCATGAGCATAATATCGTTGTCTTTTTATTATATTATAAAGTTGGATCATGCTTGAAAATCTGCATAATTATTTACAAAATCTTCAAGATTGATAACAATTGTTAAAATTATAAATTAATATATCATATCTCATTTACCAACTTAAACTTTTGGATAAAACAGATTGATTTTCTTGTATCATAAGGAACTCAGTCTGCATCATAAAATATATTTTAATTGAATTATTTTCTATTTTATGGAAGACCAAATAGCATAATTTTAATAATAAAAAATCATCTAGAAAGAAATATATAAAATAATTTATTAATGTGAAGTTCTTTTATGTTTTGTCTACGATTTAGTTTCAGATTTTTGGAATTAGAAGAATCAAACGGAATCTCAACAATTTACATTCTATTTTAAATATATTTTTTTAATTTAAAATTAATTTAAAGTAGTGAAAATTTCATAATTTTATTATAAAATTTTGATCTAAATTTCATCTTTTAAAGTGGATGTACAGAATAACATAAAAATAAATAGGTAAAATAAAATCTTCAATCATTATTTTTTATTTATAATTTGATCGATTTGAATCAGAATCAAAACTAAATTGATTCATTTATAATCGTACGTGATTAAAATTGAACCATTTTGATTTTGGTTTGAACTAAATCATGATTATAGTTTCATAAAAAATTAGACATTTAACCGTACTTATTTCTGAGCTAATTATATATTACTCCTATAATTAGGTACATTTAGTATCTCGATCGTTATATTTTCAAAACTTATATCGGGTATTCTATATTTTTAAAAATAAAATATTTAATTTTTTTTTGTTACGACATCGAAGCTATGTACGAAAATAAAAATACCATAGAGTTTATCATTGAACACGTGATGATTCTACAGTACTTTGGTTTATCACTTAGCACATGTGATATTTTATACGAGGAGAAATAGAATTAAATATTTTACTTTTACATGAATAAAGATTTTAATATAATTTTTAAAAATATAAGAAAGATAATTAATTATAAGAGGTAATACAAAATTAACCCTTTTATATCACCGATGCCCAAATCGAAGTCCGCAGAGTTCGTCCGCATAAATCTGCAATCGCCTCAGGTGTTGTATCTCCGTTCCCGTCTCTCCCATTGACCTGTCTGAGATCCAATGCGACCCGTCACTCCGCCCCGCTGAGAACCCATGATCGCGCTTCCAGCGGCGCCGCCGCTGTCCACGAGGCTAGGATTTCGTGGTGCGCTGGTTATGGTCGGGAGGTTGGGCGGGCGACGGAGCGGTGGAGTGGAGTCGGCGAGATTAGGGTCCCTGCTGCCTCGGATGGAAGCGGCCACTCCCTGGGAGGAGCCGAATGCCGGGTTCATACGGCGGGAGAGCGAGCTTGCTGCTGACTCAGCGAAGCAGCGCTGTGGATCCTCTGCTGCAGGTGCCACTCTTTGCTTTGCTTAGGTCTACCCATGGAATCTAGATTTCGAGACGGTGTGTGTTTCCAGTTGATGGATGCTGGAAACGCCGCTCTGGATAGTTGATCACAAGCGACAATCTTTTTTGTTTGAATCTATGTTTACAGGCTGGCGGGGACAACACGGGGGTGTGTCCCTGAGACATCTGCCGGTGGTCATTGTTGTCCTCTTGCATGTTATCTGATCTGGTTTGCTACCAAAATTTTAGGCTACTTCAAACGGTGGCTAGAATGTTTAGGTGGGTTGGTTTGTGGAATTACGTTGTTTACTTTGCTAAAGGAATAAAGAGTCAAACGCAAAGAGATTATGTGCTTAGGATTTATAAGCTAATGAGTATGGCTGACAAACTGGAATTCTGGGATAGTAAAAGTCAAATTCAGTGGTTGGCTGGGACATAGGCAGTTGGAAAGGTTGCTGGAAATAGAGTTGTATGGCAGTTGATTTCTCACCGGAGTTGAAGTTTGAAATTTTGATATACTTTTCTTTTATTGATACTTGAATTGTAAAGGTCTGATTTCTCATCAAATTAAATTGACTCAAAAGTTATTGTATAGTCAGATTGGCAGCCAAAACTTCATGTATCGGATGACTTGATGAATCATTATCTTAGAAAGGAAGAATTATCTCTGGAAGTTTATATATAGTCTTTCTTGAGAGTGTTGTTACTGCTAGAACAGGAAATTGAAACTAGGTTGGATTTGGATAAGAAAATTAATGAGAGAAAATAGAAGAGAAAGTTGAGGAAAATGAATTTTGAAGTGCGATATGCTGGTCTATGGTATTTCTCGCTCCTCATGTGGGTTGAAGCTGAGAAACCAGCTCCATAATATACCGAAATGACTGCCGTGCACAGATTCATGTGGAATTTTTGATAAGTCTCTTTCAGCCACGAGGAGTAGCAAAAGAAAAAAGAATTGAAAATAGGTGAAGATATAGATGGAAGGAGAACATGTCTGTTTCAACAGCCCTCAAAAGAGGCACCTGATCTCTATATAAAGAGGTCTATGATTTGATACTTTTGGATTCCTAGTGACCCATTTGGCCCTAGCTTTTGATCACTGGTAAACTAGCCACATAGGCCTCATTAAGAGCCCAAATGGCTGGCTGATAGTTAATAGAACAGTCAGCTCGTTAATCAAAATAATTGTCAAAACATTACACAATTTAGCATCCAAGTCAAAGCAAATAAATGAGCTTGAAACAAAAATAAAATGGTATGGTTCATGTAGAGGAATAAACTTGCATCTGCACCCACACCTGCGACCATGACATGGCCTAGCAGTCCAGCTCGGTTTACATGCACATGTAAGAAAATGCACCTTGATTCACAACTCCTCCCCCCCTCTCTTCCCTAACCTTTAAAAGGCTCAAGGAGAAGAATCTCTTTTAAGAGAAAGGGGATTCGCCTCCTATCCTGTTTGCCATAAAAATGAATGCAATAAATAAAAAAAAAGAGAGGATTTGGGAAAGAGGGGAAGAGAAAAGGGAAAAGTTTTGAGTTTTGCCCTCCCTCATAATCTAACAGTTATGTTTCAATATTTTTTAATCTGTCAGCAGGTTCAAGCTGAGTCAGGGTACCATTGGTGTATACCACTACCTTGTTCTGAGGTCTGCTGTTACCAGATAAGTGAAGTTTAGTTCTTACTATATTTTTGTTTGTCGAAATAGGAGCATCAAGCCAATTTTTGTCAACTGTTGGGAAGTCAACAAACATCGTATGGCATGAATGTCCGGTTGGAAAACTTGAAAGGCAAAAGTTACTAAGCCAAAAGGGATGTGTCATATGGATCACAGGACTCAGTGGTTCAGGTTTGTCTTTGATGCTTTGTGTCACACTTCTGCTCCATAAATAGCTTTTTAGATGGCATTTTACTAACTTGACTCTGCAATTTTGTTCAGGTTTATTTGCAATTTTGTTAGACACTTGTTCTGTAGTTTATTCAAGGAATTCCACAAACTAGTTTCCAGTAATTTACTATTCTGTTTTACAATCACTAAATTTGTCAGATAAATTTCAACAGAGTAAATGCCAACCATCAGTTACATCGTTCAGCACTAGGAGAAGTTTCTTATTAGTAGGATTATAGTTCACCATTCCACTTGTTGATATTTCAATTTTTGTGGCGTTTGTTCTTTATGGATGTTGGAATAATTCAAAATGACAGGAACAATCATAAGTTATTTTGCTAAGTCTGCAAACAGTACATCACTAAGAAGGACAAGTTGGTTCAGTCTAAAGGTGCCATGAAGGGTAAATGAAGACCTAAAAGAGGACTTGGAAATAATTGATAAATAAAACAGAAGATGTTCTTCAGGTACATAAATCTTGTGGCAAAGTATGGCAACTTAAAGTTTCTTGTAGTGTCTAAACATGTTACATCTAATAGCAGAACATATGGAAAGAGAAGCTTGTCCATTATAATTGTTAATACTGAAATCTGCTCAAGTATCAAACAATACACTGAAATAGATGGCACGAGAAGCAAAGTGGGAGAATTTGAAAGATAGGACAATGGTAGGGGAAGGTACTGCTAAAGAATGAAAAAAGAAGGTATAGATGGAGATAACTTGGTTTTTAGTCAACTCTAGAAATAACAGAATTTAAAACCACTCCATTCTAAGACTGTACTCTTTGGTTGTCGGTAATCTATGACTCAGAATAAAGGGGAAAATAGGCTTTTTCCCTATTTTGTGTCATATGCTACCTATGAAGTATGCTTCTTGGGCGGAGATGATTTTGGGAAAGTGCCATGCAGTTGTGAGTTGCTTATCATTATATAAACAATTCCCATGTACACGCTAAGTATTGGAGTCCTGAACGGCGGAATCAATGACACAAGCAAGCGAGAAACGCAGACATTTGATTCTAGGAACTCACATCACATATCTTGCATTTTAGTGTGCAAGCAGCAATATCCTTAAGGAGTTGCTCTGTTGGTCAAGATTTAGTTGGCCTAACATATTAGCACAGGCTTTTCATGCAACATTCAGCCAAGTTCACCTTTGATATCTCAACACAAATAAAAATTTCGATAAGGTAAGTAAGGTAAGCTGATGAGTGATATCTGCAAGCACTTCCAACAATGAGGATAAGATGGGATGCTAATTGTTGATGGTCTGCCAAATTTTAATTTCAATCTTTACAATTTTTATGTCCAAGGTGTCTAATTTGTTGATTTCAATCTTTAGCATATTTGCGGTTGATTCATTCATTTGGATCAGAGTAAGATGCAACTGTATCCAGGTTTTTAAATTGTCTTACTTCTGGGTCAGATGAACTGTTCTTTGTATCTTTCCCCAGTTTCTATGTCAGCGTATCTTTTGCATTTGGGTAAAGACAATCCCCTTAGAATTTTTATTGTGTATGAATTGTGAAATTATATTTTAGGTAAAAGCACTCTTGCATGTGCTCTGAGTCGAGAGTTGCACTACAAAGGGTATCTCACTTACGTCCTTGATGGTGACAATATTAGACATGGCCTGAATCGTGATCTTAGTTTCAACGGAGAAGATCGTGCTGAAAACATACGCAGAATTGGTGAGTGCTTTTGAATGTTTGCTTCTGGATTAATAATCATCTAGGTTTCTGAACTAGTTGCTCCTGGCTTTTTCACAGTGGTTTTTGTGATTTCAGTGTTCTCATATTCTATGTTGCTTGAGTGCCTGTTATGCTCCCCGTTGAACTGAAAAATATTATTTTTTTATGAACTTATGAACTATCATTTTTGCAGGAGAAGTAGCAAAACTATTCGCAGATGCTGGTGTTATTTGTATAGCTAGTTTAATCTCTCCATTCAGGAAGGAAAGAGATGCTTGCCGTGCAATGCTGCCTGATTCTTCATTTATTGAAGTACTTGCTCCTCTATGGCATCTTTCACCTTATGTATAAGATGACTGTGTAGGTTAATTTTCTAACAAAACCAGGATATATTCAGGTTTTTCTTAATATTCCTTTGGAGGTCTGTGAAGCAAGAGATCCAAAAGGTTTATACAAGCTTGCACAAGCAGGAAAGATAAAAGGTACACTTCAATTGGTTGGGGTTTAGGTTATAAAGAGTCATGTTGCTTAGTGCCTGACTCATGAAATCAACACACTTTGAAGAGCACTGGGAGAGATGAAGAATGTGTTCACTATATGCGTTCACATGGAGAACTTTTTGTGTGGTTTGCAGGTTTTACTGGGATAGATGATCCATATGAACCACCCTTGGATTGTGAGGTAAGTGCTCGTTATTACATATGAATCAGGGATGTGTTCTGTTGTATCTTGACTAACTTGTGCAAGTGGTGGATTTGGTCTTAATTTTTGCATTATTGGATTGTTGTTAATGGTAGAGTTGCTGGTTGTCTGCCATAATTCCTATATGCAACTAGCAAAAAAATTGCAGTAGTTTCTGGGTTATTTTCCATATACAATTAGGAGAACTTATACATGTGTTATAATTGCCTGCCTGCCTGGAATGCTTAATACGTCTCCACAGTATATCATTGTACCATCCAGAGCTCTAAGCGACCAGAATTCAGAGGTTGATCTTGCAAGTTGGATTATCGTATATAACTCTGTTTTGTGTTTGACATTTTCTTCAATTTCCTCAGTGTTTTGAATTGGATTATGACAACTGATTGGTCAAGCACTATACCGTGGATTATCTTGGTGCAACTTTTTTCTTTTATGGCATATAAGCCAATTCTTCACATGTCTGTATCATATTTAATCTTGACACCATCAACCATCAATATTCACATGCTAAGAATACATAGTGACCCAAACTTGAGAACAATTGGGTGATTTTTTGAGTGAAGCAAATTTCAGGAGATTGATTATTCTGCACTTCGGTTGACCTTTTACATGCATCTTCATGTAACTATATTTCATTCTAGAGCCTCTCAAGTAGATGAATCTGATGGCTCACATGTTAACATGAAACTGTCCTATTTTATTGTTTGTGAGTTGATGACAGGATCGCGAGCCATGTGTTCCTTATCTTTTTTTGCCATTCTTTTGCTTAATGTGCAGAAATTTTAATCGAACTGAAATCCAACTCCCAGTCTGCGCATCCAAAACATCCCTGTTTGACCTGTTGATTTTATCAGCATGTAGTGTGATTGTATCTTTGGTGAAATTGTAGGTCTCATGCATTGTAGCATATTGGCCACTTACATATTTGTTGTTTCAATCTGTCTTTCTCAGATAGTAATACAACAGAAAGGTAGCCAGTGCCCTACTCCAAAAGTTATGGCTGAACAAGTCATATCGTTCCTAGACAAGAAAGGATTTCTGCAGGCTTAGTGCCATCTGCTGTGTCCACAACTCGTGGACCAAGCGAAGCTGCTCCTGGCACCAAAGATCTAATAAGCAGGAAAGGCCATTCTGGTGAAGCTGTGATTTGTGATACGAGATTGAAATACGTGGTTGCCTGCTGAAGCTCTGTCATCTTTATTCCTTCTAATGCTAACTTGCATTCGGTGAGCATTAGAGAATAATTTGTTTATTTTAGCCACTTCTCATTCAATTGGTTAATCACAAACTAGACTGGAAACAAAATGACATTCATATGTATACAGTGTGGGAGATTTGTATCATTGGAATTGGTTTTTATTTCCGTATGGGTGAATCCACTTCTCATTTCCTTTTTTCAAGAGCTAATATTACTGTCGACCTTTCTATTGACAGTGGTAGGTTTTATATCATTCAGATGGATTTACTGTGACCTTTAGACTGTCTGCTACTAATATAGTTCTTTGGTAATATCTTTATTTTTTTCTGGTTAGTGAACCAGGCATAATGGTTCTCAAGACCTTGCAATAATAGGGAATTGAAATTGTATCACAAACATAATATCCTAAATGCACTTGTTGCTCAATCTTTGTTACCCAAATATTGATGCACAATATCTTACTCCAAAGACTGGTGATATAACCTTAAGAGATCATCTGATTTGGATCACTATACACAGATCGGCAGAATCATGTGCCAATGCTGTTGTCATGAACACCATGTTATCATCTTATAGTTAAATCCACCCATGCATTATGTGCTCATATCAACTTTCTGTTAAAAATCATCCATTTTTCCAGTGAAATATCCAAAGAGGGAAAAAAAAAAAGAAACTTGAACTACAAAATGAACCGCTAGTCTGTGCTTGATTGACAATAACACATTTGATGTCAGAAATTTAGGTCACCATGGACCTAAGTCTTCCTTCGAATTGGCATACCTAATGAGCAGCACTTTGGAGACTTTCTTACCAGCATCTGTGCTTTGTCGCAAGAGTCTTCCTTCGATTTAAGAACCACAAGTTTGAGCTCCCCCACTTTCGGTATGACAATTTCAAGCCTGTGGTACAAAATAACGTCAACTATGGGTTATTTCTCACACTAGAAGTTGTTCTGTATCAAAGTAGCAATAGAAGTTGTAAGAAGGCTAACCTGCATATATTTTGCAACAGAAGGAAGCCATTTCTCTCCCCTAGCCTTCTTCAGTTCTGAAACCCTTTCTTCCTCTCTCTTGGCTGCTGCCTTTGCTGCAGCTTCTTTAGCTTCAGATCTGGCCAACGCTCTCTCGCATGCTTCTGCTGCAGTGGCCATGATATCGTTGCCATTGAGAACAACAGACCTGATTTGGCTTTTGAACTGCAACAAATGTCTTCGCAGTATGCAATCAACAAACATGACAATGATACCATATCATCAGCAGATTGGGAAGCAGAATAAGACGGTAGAACACTTGACCTTCTTTGATTTCTCGTTGATTTCTTCTCCTGGTAGAAGTCTGGGTTTCGTACGTGGTAGTGGATGTTCATCTGGTAAGATGCTTCATTCTTGAGTCTATTGTTTGAGCTGGGAGTGATTTCCTCTGACTGGAAATTGCCGACAGATGTAACTTAATCAAGAGATTACATACCAACAGGATCCAATATTATGCCAGCAGGCGAGTTGCTGAATAATCGAATTCCAGCTTCTTCGGATTGTGGAAATTCATCAATGGAAGGGATGGGATTTCTGACCATCATGAGGCTTCTATCCAACAGGTCATCCAAAATCTTTTGTGCCTGCCAATGATCATAGAGTGTCACAGCAAGATGAAGGTTATACGAGAACATCAAACTACAAAATTAAGGCCCCAATCGTTATCATTTCTATTTCTTGTTTTTTTGGATCCAAAAGCATAAAAAAGGCAAAATTAACAAACAAAACCAAGACACAACCCATACCATCACAATGATTTTATCTTTGGTTTACCCAATAGCTTTTGCACTAGATGGGAGCGGAGCAATCAAGTCACCTCATAGATTTAGTATACGATATCCAACTACATTTCTGATTCTCATCGAAATACTAAATGTGAAGTCAAAATTATGTTAACCCATGTACTTAAGATACCAAATCAAGAAATGATCCATGTCAAATAATAAATAGGTAACATGATAGCCAAGTAAACAATCCTTCAAGGATGAGATGACATTTCTACCACTTTGAGAATCCGTCACATAGATAGTTAACAATAATGCTAAATGTCTAAGAGAATAACATAATATGCTCATGACCCATTCATCATAACATAACAACAAAAACGGTGGTAGAAACAACAGTAATGAGAGGAAGGAAAAAAGCAACAAGTGTGGCCCAACAATCTTCCTATGACGCTGATTAACGAGCTTGCTCGAGATCGGTAGTTCAGTGAAGGGCAGGAGTAGGCATCAACTACTACCGGAGTTGTAGTAAGAGTTAGCTGGAACAACTGGTTCTGAATTCAGTGAGGCTGACTACCGACTGATCTAGTGAACTGGTCGATGTTTTTGAACGTGACAAAAGTCTAGTGAACGTTAAGCAGACTTAGTAGGAGATTGGGCGGAATCGAGCAGGCCTATAAGAAGAGCCTAGGAAGGCGCTCCTTTTCTCTTCGGCATATCAACAAACAACTAGGCTTCGACTGCAGATGCTCGGGACGAGCCTAACGAAAAGCTTCCTCAAGTGAAGATATATGCACCTTAATCTGATAGAGCTTTAGCTTAGGTGCCTGCCACCGCCCCTGTTGGTGAAGTTGGGCGGTGGCATCGTCGTCATCGTCCTCGGACGAATCGACCGCGGTCGGGTCGGTCTTTGGGCGGCCATTGGAGGCCGAGAGGCCGAAACCGACGGTGGCTACGGAGTTGATGGCCGCCTTCCAGGCTGCGTCCCCGTCCTCTTCCCCGCTGCTGTTGCTGCTGCTGCTGCCGTCGCCGTTGATGTTCGAGTCGCCGCCGCCCATGTCGAACGGATCTTCTCCGTGTCAAGCAGCTGCTCCCACATCAATCACTTTTGAGCGTCTATTTTCGTGCGAGTCATATTATTATTATTATTATTATTATTATTCATGACACGTCATTAATTCCAAAGTTCCCTTCTGCTTTAGCCTTGCACAGTATCCCGATCGATAAGATAGATACATTGCTGTTATAATTAGATCATCCGCAAATAGCAGATGGGACACAAGAAATCCCTTAATAATGTATTGCCTCATGCAATACATTCCCCGCCCCGTATCCGATCGGAGCTTTCCACACGAGGCAATCCTTAATAATGTATTGCATATACTTCATATGGTATACGATAGATTGCCCCAATAGAATGAATACGTGTCACATTGTCCAAATCAAGGCCATCGATCACGTGATCTGTTGAACCGGCCGTTATATTTGCCGGTATATATATATATATATATCTGCAAAATTTAGCAGTCGCAGCTAATCATCATAATTAATTAACAAGTCAGCTGTTACATTTTCCTGGTCTGAAATAAAAACTAGGAGACACATGAGATACCATCTCACAGGTTTACGGGACGGCTATTCGGTCCCACCGCAGTCTAGTTTGTAAGCCATGTCAGCTGCTATATTTAAGGGAGAAGGAAATCAAATGGAAGTGGACAACGAGAGGAGTACAACGACAAGAGAGGGCAAACATAATAATTCATGCCATCGACACACGAGGAGGACAGGGAGGACGCCAGCGGAAGCAGCGGAGACGGGGACCGCCCGATTCAGCACCTCCATGCTGACGTGGAGGACAGCTCTCTCCCCCTCCAGCTCAACACGAGGGCCCCGTCCATCCTCGAGACACGATAGCCTTCGACGGGGGCCCGCAGGACGAGCCACTCGGCCTGCGACTCGGTGGACTCGCTGAAGGGGGCGCGCGACCACCCCGCCCCGGCGAACACCTCCCGCCACGGGCCCGGCCGCCCCGCCCATCCCCCCACCGTGCCCACCACTAACGGACGCACCACCGCCCGCTCGATCCGCCGGACGGCCTCCTCGCCGGCCCCTGTCGCCGCCGCAGTCGCCTCCACCGACTCCAGAACTGCCGCGAAGTGCTCCACCCCGGCCGCCACGGTCCGCCGCAGCGATGGTGCGGGGTGGGGGCCGACGGCGGACCCAGCGGAGCCGCCCTCCGCGTCGACGAACAAAACCACCCGCGGGGAAGCCCGGCGGATGAAACGGAGGAGGGAGGCGGTGGACTCCGGCGCGGCGTCGCGGCCGAGGATGCGGAAGACGGAGGGCGTGAGGACGACGGCCGTCGGCTCCCCGGCGCCGGCGAGGCGGATCCCGCTGAGGGCGAGAGTCCCGAGGCCGCCAATGCGCACGAAGTTAACGGCGAAGCTGATGCTGAGGCTGCGAGCGAAGTCGCGGAGGTTCTCCGCGGCTAGGGCTGTCTCCCCGGACTCCTCCGCGACGACAGCAGTGATCCGCACGGCCGGCGGAGAGGAGCGAGAGGCGCGGCACCGCGCCGCGAGCTCCTGCGCGAAGGACGACCAATGGCCGCCGAGGCCGAGGTCGAAGTCAATGAGGTGGATGGATCGGGTTCCGCCGTCGAGCGCCTCGATCAGGGTCTGGGTGACGGTGAAGGTGCCGAAGTGGGGGACAGGGGAGAGGTCCGCGAAGGCCTTGTGGGCGGCGATATGGCGTACGAGCTCGGCGGCGGATAGCGGGGGCTCGGCGGTGGAGGGGCGGAGCAAGGCCAAGAGCGCCTCCTTGAAGAGAGAGAGGGCTCTATGGAAGGAGGAGACCGCGGCCGAGGGGATGTGGTGATTGAGCCGCGACAATATCACGTGTGCCGTGGCAAAGTCCCTGGATTCCACACAATGGGCGGCGCGGATGAGCGAGTCAAGCTGGGAGCGGTCGAAGGAGGGGGCGGGCGAGGGGATGGGATCGGCGGCTGTGGCAGCGAAAGGATCGAAGTGGACATCGAAGGAGGAGTCAAGGAAGGGGTGGTTGGTGTCGTCGGGAAAGGGGGAAAGGTCGTACCTTTCGGAAAGGAACCAGGAGGCACTGTCCCAGTCGTCGGAGGTGGGGAGGTGGTGGTGATGTTGGTAGTGGGCGTCGCTGCCGCCGCCGCCGCCGCCAGCCCAGGAAAGGAGGGGGAGGTCGCCGGCTCCGGCCGGAGCGGGGGCGGTTGCGGGGCTGGAGCTGAGGTGGGCGTCGAGGACGGAGGTGGGCTCGTAGAAGAGACTGGGCGCAAAGGCGTTGTTGTTAGTGTCGGGGTGGGTAGAGGAGTCAAGGAGGGGTTTGGAAACCAGAGCGAAGTGGCGATGGGCTGCGGGCTGCTGCTGTTGCTGTGGGGGGTCGGTGAGTGGCTTCGAGTGCTTCATTCGTAGGAAAAAGGAGGGCTTTTCCTCTCGTCCTTCGTCTCTCTCTCTCTCTCTGTATCACAGACAACTGCTCCTCGGAGTTCGGGAAAGAGGGAGGTGAGGAGCTTGAGGCCGTTACCAAGGCGGGGTTATAACAAGGCAGTGGGGGGAAGAAAGGGAGGTGGCGGAATGGCATGGGGAAAGGAAGACATGGATGGATGGATGGATGGATGGAAGGGCGTGCATGGGGGATGAAGGAGAGACCATGGGCCAAAAAGGAAGGGCGAAGGGTCGCTGTCAGTGTGGGCGAGGGAGGCTTCTTCAGGGTTAAGCCATTGCTTTCATGCTACTTTGTTGGAGGTGGTCAGTGACTGCTGACAGCGAGCAGCGGCTCGGGGGATCCTCCACAGGGGGACCAACTCACCCTCCATCCTCCGGTGGTTGTGCCGTCCCTTCATCTTTTATCATGTCTCCTCATTTTTAGCCCTCCAATATTTTTCTTTCATGTGGATCGAGGTCGATACCCTCAGCTTACTCGATGCACGTCAGATCGCTGTGGCTGCAATCCCATGCACATCCAACTGCACAAGTATTCAGAAATCTTAACGCAGCCAACACTCGTCTCTGATCGACTCTTCAGGTGCAGGTGCAGCTTTCCCTGTGTTTGCAGGCGAAAACTTTGGTCCTATCTCATGCATAGGAAATTAAAACTTTCTGGGAATCAGGTGGCATTTGATGAGGCAATCCATGGCTTTCCAATTTGCTTTGGGCACTAACACCAGTTGCCCACTGTTTGAGATACTTCTCCACAGGGATAGCTCTTTCTGGAGCCACACTATTTTAGCTTACATCATATAAAAAGCTAAAAAGAAAAGAAGGGAGAAAGTACAACTGACAAGAAATATGTTGTATGATACCAATATTTTTTTATTAGATGACCATTAATTAATTTGAGTTAAGAAATTCTATAATATGAAACACATAAAACACCTTTAATATTCTTGCCATTTTGAGTTTCTAAAGAGTACTAATATCAATCGAAGTTTCAGGCAGGGAATACAAGGATTACAACTTAGCTAAAATCTCACTGAAAGAGCATTACTACTGCTGCCAAAGTATTTATGGTACACAAGCCGTTCGGTGTAAGACAGAGAGGTAAAAGAATGATGATATGACTGCACCTCATTTACCGTACGCATGCACATCTCCTTCCCGAGTGCTTCCAAAGCTACAGCCACCAAAAGGTGACGTCGGACCCAGTGCAGTCCATCCTGCACAGCAGCGGACCGCCATGGTGATGCCAGCGAATGAGCTCCGAGGAGTAGTAGATGAGGTGAATCAAAGGAGACTCCAAAACCCAATCCGAATCCTCTTATCTAATCGAAGGACCTCAATCATATTTCACAAGGCTGCGCTCTCCCTGTTGCCTTTTCCTTGAGTGGGTTATGATGGCCACCTTTCTGCAGCACTTTGGAGAGATCAGAATCTTACCGGCCTCTCTTTTGTGCAGCAGAAGCCTCCCCACGCCGTGTGTGAACCGTGTAATGAACCCCAAAGGGTCAAAGAGAGAGGCCAACGGGAGGTGTACTTTGACTGTGATCACGATCGCGAGTTAAAGCGGACACGACGAGAATTCTGCGCAGCATAAACACATGATGTTCCCGGAGACTGTCGTCTCCGGCTAGTGGAGATCGATATCAGAAAATTGTGACTTTTGTTTTTGTTAAGCAGAAGTTTTCGATGATTCCTTCAGCTTTACGTTCCTGTTCGATCTGAGATCACTATCTTCATTCACTCATCATATTCGACCTTTCTGCTGTGGTCAATTGGTCGAACACCTGCATGTTTTATGTTCTTTCTGTGCACCATATATCAATCGGCATGGGGACTTCATTTTCACATAGTATTTTTATCTTAACAAGTGTGCCTTCATCTCTCTCTCCTCCTGAAAACAACAAGAGAGAATGATGCAGGTTTGCGATCTATAAGAAGATGAGTTATCCATACCACTGGAGCATCAACAGAAGAGTTAAAAGCGTGTGAAATTGGAACTCAAACGCGCCCTGTGCGATCACAGGCGATCTGCATGAGACGGCATGCAGAGGTTTACGTCCACCACCGGCATGGCGGTGGGGCCACGGCGGAACATATTCCCGCAGCCTTTCGTCCGCGGGGTGGGGTCAGCGTGGTCTCCACGCTGACAACAGTCCACACACTGACACCTCCACCATCGACGTCCACCCACCATGCATGCGTGCATACATGCATGAGCCCATGCGCATGCGAGCGGTGACCACGTACGCCATGGCCGGCAATGCAAGCTGGGACCCCCCGGCGGGCCAGCGCGAGCCTCGGTCCACAGCGTGCCACGCCAGCGGACCGGGCTCCAGTCATCGTCCGCTGCCGGTCGATGCTCCACGCGGCCCTTGCTTTTCGCTGCAGGTACTTGCAAAAGGAGTCGACAGGCGGTGGGAGGATGAGGCCCCGTTCGATTCAAAGCGAGCTCGAGAGGAAATCGAGTACGCCAGCTAAAGCTGACAAAAGTCGAGATCGGCTCTCCGATTTCATGTGGCGCTCATAAGAATCATAGAAATAGAACTGGAGAGAAAAGGTCTCTCTATATATTGCAGTTGCAGACGAGGAACACGTACCGCGAGTGATTCACGAGGAGAAAAGAAAGAAGAAACAATATTTTACGCATTTAATTCAGCTTTCTCAAAGCTTTTGACTTCCTCACTTCTTGTTCATCGGTGTTAAACGCCTGTGGTCTAATGGTGGGGCTGCGACCGAAGGCCATTACTGATTCCTTACTGTTCATCTCAAAGCCGACTTCTTCTTTTATCTTTTACGATAAGAGAATCACTTTTAGTTCCAAAAGGGGGTGCAATAAGGAATTAAATACTCTCTAAACCTACCTACCTTCAACTTGTTTCAGGTCTGCAGTCTGTCTCGAGTGTATTCTGCTCTTAAGCCAAGGAAAAGCTTCTGGTCAACGAGTGTCGGAAAATAAAATATGTAAGCAGCATTCAATTCAGACAAACTATATGATAGAAGTAAGCACAGATAAGGAGAAACGAGGAGGTATGGTCTCGGTCATCAATCAACGAGGAAGAAGCTTGGCTGCTGGTTTGGCAGAACGCAATGACTCTCACGTATCATCCAGTCATCGATCGTGTCAATCTACTCGTAACACGTAATTTGATGCATCTTGTGGAACATGATGACGGATAGGGACATTAACGTAGTCGGGAAGCATGTGCGGATATATATTCCAAATAAAGTGCATAACGACAAATTAATAAGATGGGCCCACTTGTCTCCTTATTTTTGCTATTAGTCTCCGTATTAATATGCTTTCGAGATTAATAGTTAGTGATAAGGGTAAAAATGACGATGTGACACGCCATGACGTCAGTCATGCCTGGACAACACACTGCCCGAGAAAGTCGGCATTAACACCTAACTCAGGCTTGGTTCTTCACGTCACGCCAACCCCATGTCAGACGCTATCAACCTGCCTCCTGCAAGTAGTCACATTAGGTAACATCAAACTCATCTATAAATACTCCAGAGTTCTAAACGAACAAGGGGAGGAACACAAGCACAACGCACTCGGAGGCATCTCTTCCTCCAAAACCCTCTCCACATCGCTAACTTGATCGTCGGAGGGGTCGGGCCGAGCTCCCAGTCCGACCTGTGTGCAGGTGCGAGACGGTGTCGCCTCTTCCCGGCGCTGCGGCGTAGCTTCCTCCCGACCCAACCTTCCGACCCGACCACCCGTCCCGACCTCCCGACCCGAACCACCGTGCTCGGCCGCCGGGATACCTCGAGGGACGCTGCTCGAGATCCCCGACATCCGGACCCCCGAACCGAGCCGCGTCGACCCCGAGGCCTTGCCTTAAAAGGTGTTTACACTAACAGTTCGGATATACGTATATAAAATTTCATACTAATTCAATTCAAACGTTTAAATTATGAGATAAATCCTGTATGATATCTAACATGGAGGAGATGACTTGTGAGACTGCAACGATTTATACATCATCATCATCATCATTTGAGAGCAACCTCATCACGTGAGTTTGTGCAATCTACGATGTTGGCAGCAGACAGAAGACCATGAAAGAACAGCTCCGAGCTCCGGCTTCAATGGCAGCTAAATAACATGACGACAATGTATGTAGAACTAATAAAGCAAGGAGGAGGAAGAACACATCCTCCGCCACCTCCTCCTTCCGAGTTGCGGGGGAACACTGCACCTGCACAGGTGATGAAGTGCACCAGAGCCCATTTGCTAGAAGACTGCGGGACCGCCGCCGCTGTTGCTTCCACATCTGCTGCCGCTGCGCGGCTTTGGATTAGTGTTTGACAGATCATTCGTCTTCATTCTCTCGCCCGCCAGCGCATCGCAGAATGCTCTATGGGGGATGAAGCTTTTCCTCCTGCCGAAACCAAATCGAAGAACCATGAAGATACAATGAGATGTGAGACCCAAATCAAAACCACCCAACAGATGGATCATTGGGGGAGGCGCTTCGGATCGACAAGTACCGCGAGAAGAGGGCGCCGCAGACCTTGGCTTGGGCTTTCCAGTCGGACTGCACGGCGTACTTCTTGGAACGCCTTCGGCGAGCGCGCCACCATCTCCGCCTCCGGATCTGTTCCACCCCGCATTCCATTATAAACAACTATAATCAAAAGGGTCAAAAATAAGCAAAAAAAAATCCAATTTTTGGATCGTGAACCATTCATTTGACCTTGAATTCCGGCAAGGTTCCTTTTCTTCTTGACCACCACAAGCGGCAGCGGTGTCGGCTGGAGTTGGCCGAAGCAGGAGATGCTGGCCTCGCCGGAACCAGAGTTGGAGGCTGTCATGGAGGATGGATTCTCCAATTCCATCATCCAAACCTCTCTGTTTCGCTCTCGAGTTCAACACACAGAGAGGGTAAAAGAGATGCCCTTTCAGCAGCCGCCCTCCTTTTAACACTGTTACAGAAAGATTGGCGTTCCCAACGACCGCTTTCACCTGACCAGTACGCCAAGCTCAGCCCCGCCGGCGACAGGGAGCAGAAATCGGCCGCTACCGGAGGAAAAAGGCGGAACTTTTGTTCATCTTCTTCTAACTCGTCCTCTTCATTGGTGTATCTCGAAAAACCCTACACGAAACGAGAACGACGCCGATAAATCCGGTGAGAATCGGGGGATGAGACGCACACAGACTCTGCGGTGTTCGGTCCTCCTAAGCGGCTAAGCTTCGCAAAGAACGAACGGAGAGAGGTAAACCGGTGGAAGGAGCGAGTTAACTCAGGTCAGGAACGGGGAGGACGTGAAGGCATCACAGCCGTCGGCTCAACCCTTCGTTCAAATTCTTGATTTACTTTAAATTTATTTTTGGACGAATTCTCGGAAAAACCTTTTATCTTTAATAAATTTTCACAAATCATCCTGACTTTTAAAATTTTCGTAAACATTATATCTTCGTCGAATCCATTGTTGCCTTGTATCACCACCGTCGACTTATCATAGTTTTCGTGGATCTTGTTGGACTCGCTTCACCCTCACACGAGGAAGGAAGGGGTTCTCATCGTCCTCACCTGTAACCCTTATGTGCAATGGGGGATTCGACAGGGTCATTATCACTTACTGTATAAGAACGAAGAAAACACTAGATATTTTGACACGTATGCAATATAATTTTTTGGTGCTTGTGATATTTACTATAGGACATTCAAGACAATATGTGTTTATTAAATACTTAATTTTCTTGTCATTTGATTTCACGTTACTCTTTTAAAACCAAGGATAGGATTATACCGAATAATCTTTGTATCGAATACTTAATGTTTAAGTTATTATTTGTTTCTACGGGATAAAGATTGGGAGCATTTGAGAGTTTAAATTGAGATCAAAGAATTTAAAATTAGAGAGTAATAATAATTTTATCAAGTGCATCATCGATGGTAGAATATTTTCCTATATTGATATTGCACATCTAATTCGTATGTCATCATTTTTTAATTGATTATATTCTACATGTCGAGTTCCATTCAAGTACAAATAGTTATGTATCACAAACAAACAGGGTAAGTTCTTAGTACACTGCTTCTTTTCCTCATGAAATCTCACATCACTTAATCTGAATCTTTTAACATCTTATCGAACCAAGATAGCTATATCAAGAGTGATTTACCAATTTATATCATCTGATATTATTGAAAATATTAAAAAAATAATCCTTTAATTAGTCGGACTTTTATTTATAATCTTGATTCCAGGTTTGATCAAGTTCATCTACCTGAAATCAAATAGTAGTATAATTTTATCTAATCAAGTTTGTAAAGGTTTACATCTAAACCTAAGAGGTTAACTTTGTGCATGCTATTCTGGTGATGTTTGAGTTGCAATATACAGCCACTGTAGATTATGTTTGTCTTCCATTAATTTAACATTTAAGAATGAGAGCTATAAATTTGATTTTTTTTATTCCGGGATGAAAACTTCAAACACAGGATGACAACAGACAAACTGCACTCATCCAAACACATGAAACTTGAGATGCTACAATCATAACAAAAAGCTCGAGTAATTAGATTAGACAAATAATCTATTGATTTATATTCTGAGCAAAAATGCATTATCAAGGTTTCATCCAATAACAAAATTCATATGGTTGAGTTATCCAAGGCCTTTCAGTACTTTTGGGTCATTTGCTTGTCTATCCGGGGAGCAAGCAACTGAAGTTTTGCATCTCGGATGATCACACACCAACAACTAGACAGAAAAGGGAAACCAATGGGAGTTGGATTCTTTTCTTTCTTTTTCTGTAAAATTTCATTAATGATCACATTTCCTGTCATTAGATCATTCTTGTGATGTATTCTTGCCCTGTCCTTTGCCCTTCTTGAACTTAGCCAGGACCTCATCCATTCCACCTTGTGAAAGGATGTTATGGTCACTGGCTACTTCAACTCAATTAAGATTCCACGCTTCTATTTGTCCAAGAAGGTTTTCCCTGGGGTAGAGATATAGCAGTTATATTGATGCTACTTGTACTTGGTTTCTCATGTGCACCAGTCTTGAGTGAGTCTCTTGAGGTCCTTTTGGAGGGTACATGAATGGCTCTTCAAAGCATTGTTAATGGAGTCCTTCCTTGTTTCTGTTTGCACTGAGTTTCTCACAAGCACCAGCAATGAAGTATGCTTCTGAAGTCTCCCATGTGAGGTACAAAGGATGGGGCAGCAATTCCATCCACAACCTTTCTTGACAACCTTATCCATTGTTAATGGAGTCCTTCCTTGTTTCTGTTTGCACTGAGTTTCTCACAAGCACCAGCAATGAAGTATGCTTCTGAAGTCTCCCATGTGAGGTACAAAGGATGGGGCAGCAATTCCATCCACAACCTTTCTTGACAACCTTATCCATTCAGAGTGATGAGATGTTCATGCCAGGAAAAAAAATCTGTGTACTTTGCTGCTAAATACTTTCAGGCCTGCTTATACCTCTCTCTCTTGCAAATCACCACCAAGTTTCATGATTTAATTCTTAGCAGGATGCAGTCACACCAACGATGTCTATCAATGCTTCACCTCAAAGGCTGGCCAAGAATATAAAAAAAATAAATGTGACACTTCAGCAATATGAATATGACTATGAGGCTGATCAAGAATATAAAAATAATAAAAAGCTGCAGTGTTTATTTGGAAATGCATCTAAAAGTTATCGCCATAGAGAGTCCAACAGATTTCCAGCACCATAGCAGCATCTCTCTTTTATTTAGACAGAAAAAAAGTTATCGCCATAAATAAAGGCACCATGTAAAAGTCCAACAGATTTCCAGTACCATAGCAGCATCTCTCTTTTATTTAGACAGAAAAAATTATCGTCATAAATAAAGGCACCATATAAATGTTGCAAAAAAAACAAATCACAGATCATGAAATGTCTAGTTCCAAGTTTTGACATACACTCAGAAGACATTCCTTGCCACTCCTCCACATGCATACCAAACATGTTGATAGGACTTCTGTAAATTAAGAAGAAACAAGATCAAGAATCAATCTAATAAGAACTCTTATGTTATCATGGTCATCAAACCTTCACATTCTGGAACAAAAGCAACAAGACTTTCAAAAGACAAACTTATGGATGCTACCTGTGCTGACTAGGATCATGATTAACGTACAACCAACATCTTGACACCTGACCTGGGTTTTGGAAGTCAACATTTAAGAACATGCATACTTTGCCAGACTTGCACACTGCTTGTCACTTAATCTGGATGTTCTAATTAAACATGTTTCCTCTATAACTACAATCAACCTCAAATTCTTCTTAATGTTATATCCTGTATTAACTGGACAAACAAATTTCACCACCGGCTATCTTGTCTTTTCTTCCTAATAACCTGCCATGTAAAAGTAAAAGACATATTTCTTCATGTTAAATCTCTATTCACCATGACACAACATCAGATTCAAAGCCTAGCATGTAATTTCCTAATTTGAAGCTCTAGCCCCTTGTTCAATGAATAGATACCACTAGTGCGATCCTAGTGGAAAAAGAGAAAGAGATCCTCTCAAATAATTATACTTCTTATAAGGCAAATACACATTTGTGAATAAGTTGTCAAATGCCCTAGAAGTTCCTAGTATCTTATTAATAAAAGCTTACAATGTTAATATATTTTATATATTCTCCCACTTTTTTTTTTGCTCTTTTTATTACAATATAAAATATCCAAACTATGCTCAATCGATCACATAACAGCTTGCACCAAAAATCAGTTCAATTTATCACCAGTCAAGGCCTACCAAATTTATCCTGAACATAACTCCACAACCATATTTATCATCTTGAACACCACTAGACCATTCCCAAAGCATCTCACTCCAAATCAGCCCAAACTCTTGAAAATGCCAAAATTTCGGCTCAGTACATTCAGTTAAGCATTTTCTCAGCTTTGCAAAAGAAAAAGGCTTATCAAATATAGTGATGATCATAGTGCACCAAATTTATTGGGTTGGAGCAAACTGCAAACCTGTATATGTTGCATTCTAATCCATCTCAAATAAACTACAAAATTTCAAGGTAAAAATGAAGAATAACTTCAAACATCCTTAAAGACAAGAATTTCAGCAAAAGAAAAATTACCAATCCAAAACATACAAACCAAAAGCTTTCGGCGACAGAAGTTCAAATTCGTCCATCCCAACCTAAACAACAAATTCTAAATACGAAATGCGTGGCAACAAAACCGGACCTAAATCAATTTAAACAAGCATGTGACCTGAAAGCACGGGAAAAGTCAGGATCAGCGTTGCCGGTAGCGAGGTCGGTGTACGGCTTGGCGTCGATGTTCAAAACTATCCATGACAGAGGGTGAGCCCGCGGAGTCGATTCCGACGAACCGATGGGATTCTGAACCAAGCCGAGTACGTGCAAAGCGCGCAGAGAGAAATGGTCAAAGTAGGAAACCAAGTCAGGAAAGGAGATTAAGATCCGGATCCAGATCTCGAAGAAGATAACGTACCTGATAAGGGTCCCGGGAGACGATTTTGGGGAGGGAGGAGATGGCGAGCGAGGAAAACCAATCGCCCGATCGCGGCGATCTCCATTCCCATGCTGCTTCCAAGCAATAGCGGCCCTACGAGCGACTCCGAGGGACCATTTAGGTCCAGGTCAGGAATCGGATTCGGATTCGGATTCGGATTCGGATTCGGATCAGACAAATTCTGAACCGCACCACCGCTAGTTTTCTAAATGCCTAATAAATATTTGAATATATAAATAATTCCTAAATTTTAGTTTAGCATAAACATCCCTTTAAAATAAAATCCTAATGATTTTTGTATATTTCATTAAAATTAATCTTTATTAGCTATTTTAATTTAATTATTAGTTCAAATTTTAAATTATATATTTTTTTTAAAAAAATCATTATAGTTTAATTATTTCATATTTATATTTTTTAACAAAAAAAAAAACCAATACTGGTTACAGTTAAAAGTAGTTGGATACACAGAGAATCTAAACAATTGGAAGGATATATATTGCAAGCATAAATATGTAGAACCCCCAAAATCTTGTATATCTGATAGATACGCTATGTCAAATTTTGAGATCCATTTCACTGATGTGAACAAATTATCTTCTCAACATCATCTGACAGACTATGGTTCCTTTGTTGAAATATCTGAGTGTGTGATTGGGTGTTTTGGCAACAAAATGGGTTTAGGAAGCATTTTTCCTTTCTCCATCAATGAAATTTCTCTTGCAACAAACAAAAGTTGGATTACATTGTCCCCACAGTGCTTGTGCATGTTATGACAAGACCATCATTGTCCAGTGATGCTCATGCCCACACATCACTGTGGACCATGGCATATAGATATATGCCAGAAAAATTCAAAAGGCAAGTACAAAAGCATTGTTAGATAGCAGTGATTATTCATCATTGATCATCCTGCATGCAACTCTTGCAAGTCAAGGTATAGGGATGCCATAACAAGGAAGATATGTTGTCATATTCTTGTAATCAATCAAGAGAGGGGAGGAGGGAAGACAACCATGTTGAGATGAGGTTCTAAGGTTTCAAGCCCATATGGGGATCTATGAATTCCACTCCTTTAGTTTGACATTCCATCTGCTTACCTTTGTGTTCCTCTGGTTTTTGTTTCAGCATATCCACTGAGCAACTTCTCGAGCCAGTTGTTCTCATCTAAGACACACTGTACAAAGGACCAGACTCCTAAAGCTCCATCTTCTGAATCTTTTCTCTTATTCCACCTTTTTATTTCTTAGTTCTTTATTCCCATTGAAAGAGCCAATTCGGTGCCAGTAGGAGGTTCCATCTCGGCCATTTCTTTTGGACTACTGCTCTTTCTTCCCCATACTGATAAGCCAAACCTCTTTCAGCTACTTCTCTATATATGTGTGTGTGCTGTTCTGCAACCACAACCAAGTGACCCACAGAACTGTAGCTGTACATTGGCAAGCCAAGAATCCATCTCTTCTTCTCCAACATTCTTATACTCGTCCAGATTCGGCCTTTACAGACACACCCTTTCACTGTTTCTCCTGCACCTCTGCTACTATTTAGTGAAGTTAGCCTCTCTTCTTGTGCAGAGGGATTCATTCCGGGGAAGCAATACCAATCTCCCTTCCTTCAGCTAAAGCTCCATGGGCCACCCATGACATCGAATCTGAAGCAGGTTTGGTTTCCAGGGCCTCTAATAGTAGGAGCTGGACCTTCAGGTATAGCCACAGCTGCGTGCCTCAAGGAGAGAGGTGTCCCGTATTTGATACTGGAGAAGGAGACCTGCCTCGCGCCTTCATGGAAGCTGAGGACCTACGAGCGCCTAAAGCTTCATCTCCCCAAGCAATACTGTGAGCTGCCGCTCATGGCGTTCCCGCCGGAGTTCCCGACATACCCCACGAAGCAGCAGTTTATAAGCTACTTGGACGCCTACGTCGAGCGCTTCGCCGTCAAGCCATTGTTCGACATGGCGGTTCGGGTTGCCGAGTACGATGCCAGCATCAGGTTCTGGCGAGTGGAGGCCGGTGACTTGGAGTTCATATGCCGGTGGCTCATTGTGGCCACAGGGGAGAATGCAGAGGTTGTGTGGCCAGAGATCAGGGGAATCTCGAGGTTCCGCGGGCAGCTCTTGCACACCAGCTGTTACATGAAGGGCGATGGCCACAGAGGGGAGAAGGTTTTGGTGGTGGGCTCTGGCAATTCAGGCATGGAGGTTGCTCTGGACCTCTGTGACAATGATGCCAAGGTCTCCATGGTCGTCAGGGACAAGGCAAGTGGATCATCCTTGCTTCCTCTTCTTGCACTTTTGTACTAATACTACAAAACATGATTGCTGCTTCGTGTGGTTGTGTCTTGTTTGCTTCTGCCCGAATCGAGTTGAGTGCATCTCAACTTTGATTTGCCCCCTTTTGGACTTGGATTTTTCTGCAAACTACTCCGGTAGCTTCACTGTGTGCAGTGGAGTGGCAATCGAGCTCAACTAATCAAACTTTCATGCAGTGTTACTCGTCCTGTTGAACTCATTTAAGTTTTGGCTGTGGCAGCTGCACATCTTGCCGAGGGAACTACTTGGGATCTCGACTTTTGGGATGTCAATGGCTCTGCTCAAGTGGCTCCCTGTTAAAGCTGTAGATGCTCTCCTCCTTTTCGGCACAAGGCTGCTACTGGGAGATACGGAGAAGTATGGGATCAAGCGGCCTGCGATCGGGCCGCTCGAGCTCAAGAGCGCCGCCGGAAAGACTCCGGTACTGGACATCGGCACCTTTGCCAAGATCAAAAGCGGACAGATTAAGGTTCTCTTCTTAACATCAATGCCATCGGATTGATTATATTCAGCTCACGAAGCAATGGATTCATTGCTTCTTGAGTCCATCTTTCTAATCGATTGAATCAAGAAAGAAAACGAAAGAAAACTGAGATGAATTTAGTGTTCTCTGCAGGTGGTCCCTGACATAAACCAGTTCACAAGCAAAGGGGCAGAGTTCGTGGATGGTGAACACGAGGAATTCGATTCCATCATCCTGGCAACAGGCTACAAAAGCAATGTGACTTCTTGGCTCAAGGTACGTGAGACAATCCAGCAACATGTTAGTAGGCAGATCTATGCAAGATTAGAATAGATGCATACATAGGATGACGAACACTCGAGTAAAAATCATATATAGGACAATTCAATTAGGATCATTTCTCCAATCAGATTGGAAGAAATGAGGTCACATGATAGAAAGGACTTTTTGAGTTCTTATGGGCTTGTCGCACTGTCACATTCTTACAGCAGCTTCACCTTGGACTTCTCCAAGCAACGCCAAGAAGCTGATCGGAACGTTCTTCATGCAGACATACGAATCAGATTTGGACTTGCAGATACGTACAAGCAAACTGTTCATTCACAACAATGAAACCTTCAAAGATCTAGTAAATAGTAAGGCACAGAGATCACATGCAAGTGAAGTCAATAGAATATCTGTCGATGTATCGTAATAATGCCAAGTATGGGCATTGATGGCGATTCCTTCGATAAGAACATACAACACAACTCTGATGGCGACTTTGGTCCAACACAGAGACATCCAACCCCATTATCACTTCAAGAAAAAGAAGCCTGCAGTGCCTTTGCACCGCCTCCATTTTGCCACCACATGCAATTTAAGTGAAGGGGGTAATCCCAGGATGGGCCACAGCATCACTAAAAGGACGTTTCTATGTGTATCTGACCTCCCCAAACATCCATCAGTAGATATCTTATAATCAATACACAATCATTTGTTCATGTTCATTAGTGTTATCAGAGAAAGAAGAAAGATTTCTATGTATCTTACTGTAGATTTGCATATGGCAAGGAGGAGGAGTTCTTCGGTGAGAAGGATGGCTTCCCGAGGACTTCGTTTCCTAATAGTTGGAGAGGAAAGAACGGGCTCTACGCTGCTGGTTTCACCAGGAGAGGATTGCTGGGAGCTTCCATGGACGCCTGTAAAATAGCTGAGGACATTGCCAACCTATACGGAGCCGTAGATATCAGGCATAAGCTGAACACCATAACATCTTGATCATGCTGGATCATTGGTTTGGATAACGAATTTGACTGTACTTTGCTAAAGAAAGAAAATTTCAAGTGTGATATCTGCATCACAGGTTCGATCATCTGTTGGGAGTGCAATACACATATGAATTGTATACATGCCTAATGATTTGGAGCCCGGATTGAGTTATGGCTAATCTCTAGTTCGGAGTGGAATGATTCCTGGCAACTGGGATTACTTTGGAATGTGCTTATCCCAAAATAATTCCCAGTTCGTCCAGCTTTCCAATCAAACAAATATCTGACATACTTCATAGGACATAAAATAGTGCCAAAGATCCATTTTTATTGAGAACAGTCTTTCTGATATGATTCCTGAGACAAATTCTGCCAAATGCCCATCACATCTATAGATATATGACTTCCAGATGTCAATGCAGCATATCCTTTTGAATTGAATGAGTAGAAGATAACTCTTCAGGATCCAAGAAAATGTTCTTGTTTGACAGCACAGTTTCCTCCTTTTTTGTGTACACTAATCCTTCTTTTGTCCCAAGATGTTAATCCTTCCAGACCCAAACTAGCTAATGATTCTTCTCTTCATCCTCAAAATAACAAAGATAACTAGGACAAAAGGAAAATTGACAAGCATAATCGATTATGCATCTCTGCAACCTGTATTTTTGGTTGCAAGTATTCCTCTTTAGCTACTTCCTGCTAGCTAGTTTCTCGAGTTTATTCCTGATGGTGAAGCTGATAGATTCTTATGAGCTTCCAATTAGAAAGAACCCCACAGTCCTGTCATCTCTTCTACTGAACAATGCAAGACTACAAAGTTTAGCTGCAGACTGTAGTTTGCCACTTCTTCACAAGTGTAACAAAGAAAAGCTTTAAATCTGGAACATCACAACTCACAAACCTTCCTCCCATTCTGCCGACTACATTCTTTGGTCAGCAAGACAACATTCCTCAAAGTAGTACAGGGGATCTGCCGACTAACCAGATGAAGATGCAGCAGTTTGAATCGGCTGGACTCCAAGCATTGCGGCAGGGCTTGTCATGTCGCAATCCAATGGGAGTAGATCCTGCGACGCATGTAGGCGGGGCAAGCTAAGTGTGCGAGTTCCCATGCGTTGAAGATCTCCTTCTCCCATTCTTTGGTCCCCTTCACGCCCTCAAGCTCTTGATGAGGACAACTCGGGGCAAGGCTCGATCTGTTTGCTAGATCCAGTTCTTCATCCACTGACATGGCTCATACGGCAGCAAGAAGCTTCTTCTTCTTCTGCAAGTGACCTCCACTGCACTGCAGTTTAGCCAGTGCTCAGAACTTACTACCCTCGTAGCTCTCATTTCAGTAAGTTGGTAATGAAAAGATTAATTAGAGATTTGAGCTCGGACTTGACATGTTTTATGATCTCTCAATTGAGTATCTCGAAGTTCAATCAAATGATTGTTTCCTTTCAAGAGTTTTTCATTTCTCATGAAACAATTTCTCGGAATCTTCCGAGGGATATGGCAAACATCACCATTAAGGTTAAGCAAGAATCAAAAGGGAAGAAGCAATGCATAAGCTTTATAGCGTTGGTGCTGTAAAGAATCACAGTTTTCCTCGTAGGATATAGGAATCATGGAACCAAGAAAATGACAATCTCCAGTTACGTCAAGCATCATCTGCAACCTATGTTCATAGAACTAGTGAGGGCATCGATCATATGCACAGCGGATAAGAGACGATAAAGAAGACAAATCCTTGCTTTTCATGATCGATGTCTCATCTATACTTTGTCCTCAGTATGATCTATCAGTCTCTCTCACCAAGTAGTAAAAAGAAGAAGTGACTTCATCCACTACCAGGAGAATATTGCTGCCAAGTGTATTCCTAGTTATCAACACGCATGATCATCTATCTGTATCACTGGTCAAACACAATACTGAACTGAAGTCTTCGAGTGTCCCATTAAGCTGTGATTTGGTCGACATAAATGGAAGACCACATAAAAAGATTTGGAGTTCTGTAATAAGCTCTAGAACTGGAAAATACACTTCCACCAATATACATACGTATAATAATATTCATGGAGGAATGTCTCTAGTTGATAAACTTTGTAGGTGGAAGTAATTTACTGTTGATAACATCTATGTATTGTTGGCTTGTAATTGGAATCTAATTAGATGATTGAGGCTGAAAGTATACATGAATGCATGCAGCTAAGAACATTGGAAAATTATTTAATTTGGAAAAAAAATATTTTGTGAAAAATATTTAAATTAACAATGTAAGAAAATCGATTTATTTTTTAAATATTTTTTTTGTTAGACATTCTTATCATGGCCAACAATCTCAGTTCTTAAACCACGAATCTCAAAGCACAGAATTTGTATATCTTGACCATCCCTCATCCTTGATTGCCGCCGAGAGCATCAAAAAGATGAATCACGCAATCCGCACGTGCGCAGAGTGTGGACTATAAAATACTGGGAGCGAGCAGCTGCCGCGGAGCGCCAGCCGGAGCGATGGCCGCCTCTTCCTCGCTGTCCCCGACGGCCGCTTTCCTCCCTCTACCCAGCCGTGCATCCCACTCTACCAAGCCGAAACCCCTCTTCGTCTCTCTCCACTGTGCACACGCTGCCGTCTCCCTGCGCTTCCTCGCCTCTTTTCCGTCCCGTGTCCCCGCGGCCGCCGCGGTGCCGGATACAACGGAGGCTTCTATCGACTTCGAGGTACTTCGGGGAGAAATCTGCCGTTACTGCCCCTTCTTCCCTCGATATTGAGGCGGATGCTGATAAGGTAGTCGATCCTCGACCTTTCTTTGCATGGGTTTAAAGGTGTTAGCTTTATCCCTTTTTTGTCTTTTCGAGTGCTGCTTGTGTTCTTGTTGTTTCGGTTTATGGCTTATGACACGAGAACTAAGATATCCACGTTACACTTTGTTTGCCTACGCATTTCGCGAGTTAAACAGTATAAAGCCTGTCTTATATGTGGGATGATAAGTTTGTATATTTACTTAAAGGTGGATCTTTGTTTATACCCATCTTGCTTCTTTGCAATTTAGTTGATCAGAGAGTTCATCACCGAAACAGCTTGAGGTGAGGCTGCATACATGGACCCTCCCCATCGCATATTGGCGTAAGCGTTATCCAATGGGGCCGCCCTTTAGGAACCTTTCCTTCTCAATTTTGTGTAACATTTGCATTCGAGTGCATATAGATCTCTTCGACAATGAAAGAGTATACTAAAATGTTATATGCTCTAAAAATCCAGCAAATGAACATTAGATTTCGTAGAAATGCTGGAACTGTCCACAGAGTTTTTCTAGTTATTGTCCATTATAACATTCATCTGGTACATGTGGACTGTGGTGCATACATCTTAAATGAGAACTTTGAAAAAGATATTTGCAAAGTTTTATAGCACCAACCTGTGATGAAATATTCTCAAAGTAAAATTTGTCCATTATAACGTATTGGTTATCAGAACTATGTTCATTTGGAAGGCTCTTATATGTGAAAGCAGTCCATGAACAACCTCAAAAGAAACAAGTATCCAATTGTTGTAATGTAGAAATTATTATGAGGTAGTTACATTTTCCTAGGTCTCTTATACTATCATGGACTAGTGTCTTGCATGCTAAGTCCATGGTGATTATGGTTTATAATGGCATGTATCTATAGTACTAGGTTCATGTTGGCATACACCAGATCATGTGAAGGGACAATCGTGATGTGTGCTATTGTGCTTGCATTATGTGGATTAGCGAACGTGATAGATATAGAGTGCATTTGGGAACACATTTGAAATGTACATTGAGAGCCCAATCCACATTTCAAATGTGAATTGATATTTGGTGATTTTTTTTAAAATCATATTTGGCCTTGAGGCTACATTGTAAATGCTCAAATGTTCATGCTACCTTATTGACACGGACTTAGCTGGTTTTGCCTAAGTCGTGCGGTACCCTTGCGTGTCCGTCCGCAAAGGTCAGCCTCCCCGAAGACTCCCATTGTCCCTTAGGACCAACAAAAGAGAGAACGGGCAAGAGAGAACGCCTCAATCGGGATCCACAAGCAAACATCTCCGAAAAACACTTCATAGACAATGCAAATTACAAACAGACTTTACAAGCTCTGAACAGTGGCACAACAAAGGGTAAAATGGTCCATTACAGACCGAAAAGCTCTCGCACGTGTCCACATGACACAACCTTTATTTACAAGCCTAAAGAGGCCACCAACCCAACTAAAATGGGACTATTAAGCCTTCGGCCGCCCCTTTACATTCTGTACAAGGCATGAACATGCCAAAAGACACGGACATACATAAGCATTACATCAAACACCCTGTTTCAAAGTTTGTCCGTGACATTCTCCCCCACTTATCCCTTCGACGTCCTCGTCGAAGCCTTTGTGAACACTGCAACTCTTCGCCTTTGCTGAGTCTTCAATCTTCCGCTCCAGCTGCAATGCGCCTCCTGGCTCCCAGCTGCTCTCCGCTGCTGTTTTTGAGTAGTCGAACCTTTGATCCGCCATGCTG